GGAAAGCCGAAATTTTGCGAAGCCTATCATCATTTCGTTTGCTAGGCATAATAGGAGGTTGTCATATTCTCGGAAACTGGATTTATTCTTTTCTGAAAATCGAATCTCTATCCTTTTTTTTTGTTTTTTTTTTTAATTTGGACCATTCGGGGGTGATCCTCTTCTTTTACTTTTTTTATTTTCATTCTGTTGATTAGGACCGGGAGGAAAGTACAGCTTGGTTGGTTACCTTCCTGCGTTTTCCCTCCCAACCAACCCTTTTTGCCTGCATTCACGTTTTGGTAAGTGCCACGTCAGCAGTGCCATGACAGCAGCAGTGCCACATCAGCAGCAGTGACACGTCAGCAGTACCACGACAGCAGCAGGGCCACGTCAGCAGTACCTCGTCAGCTGACACCGTACAGCTAACTGCAGCTTATGCTCCAACGCAGCAAACGCATCGCAGCACGTGAAGGGCGGGCAGCCGCAGCGGAACAGCAGCTACCCCTGCCCCACCCCTCTGCAATGGATGCTCAGGGCAACCCCACGGTGGACAACGCCGCATCCGGCAGTCCACGCGAGGCGTGCAGCTCGAACGCCCTGGTCCCACAGGTCCAGCAGGTGGGTTCCACTGCGACAGCTGCGGGAGCCCTCGATGCGGCGCCAGTCTGGCAGCAAGGAGAGACCATGATGGCCTTCCTGGCCCACCTGGACACCTACATGCAACAAGTACGAGAGGAACAGCAACGCGAGGCAGCAGCTGAAACGGCACGCCTCAACGCCATTGCACGCGACGCGGAGCAACGGCGCCGGCAGCACGCTGAAGCAGCTGCCAACCATAACAAAGCTCGAAAAGATGCCGCATCTGTCCTCATGCAGCAGGAAGCCGCTCATACCACCGCACTCCAAGCATGGAATGTTGATCCGGCGCAGACGGCGGAACCAATTGCAGAGGAGCAGACCAAGTCAGCCCTCGCCGCCGCCCATCACATCCATCGGCCAGGTCAGCGCTACGGTGAGCGCACGTGGGCGGGGCGTTCAAAGCTTGCCGCGCGCCGCGTCAGGGAGGAGGAACCCGGCGGGGTGACGCGCACGACAGGAGCTCACGCAGCGGGGCGTTTGCGCCCTGATGGGAAGCGGGTCTACGAGTCATGGTGGATCGGCTTTGTAGTACACTTTCTGTTCTGACCACGAGCGTTGTC